CTGCACTTCTGGTAAGCAATCGACTCTACTTCAACGAGCTATCGACCTTATTCATTACCTTATGGGAAGACGCCAGTTTGAAATTCACTATGTGGCCTCTGCCGAGAACCCTGCTGATGCCGGCACAAGGTGTGACCTCTACAGCGATTTGGTTAAATACCGTGATTCTATCGACGGTGTAAGTCCTGAGATTCTGTCTGACGATGATACCTCAGATATGAACACTGTTCATGTTGCTAGAATCATACGTAAGCGTGGTGACGTGGACGAAGACACCAACGAGATCGGTGACAAAAGACCACGACTTGAACCACCACTACGAGTTCCCACCAATCCATTACCACCCCTACAACGACCACCCTATTTGGACATTTCAATAGACGGCGGGGCCCAATCTGATTCTGACGACTCGCTGCTACCCTTAAGACCTCTTGCTGCTGCTGGGGATCCTGCCGGAATCCGAGTGGTTTCGAGTGGCTGCTTTGACTTCGCCCCACAGGCTGGCCCGCATAGGCCCATTGGGGAAGACGAGCAGTTGACGAGAGGCCACGAAGACTTCCACCTTCCCCATGCAATGTCTGACTCTGTCATGCAGCCATGTGACGATGCCGGTTCCGTTGATTGTGTACATGCCGCTCGCTCTAGTCAAAGACCCCTACCTGAACTCTGCCTCAAACTTCGGGTTACCCGAATCGGGTAGCAGACGAATTTGACATAGCGGCTATAGTCGACTGTGGTGCCGGATTCAGCTACTTACTCTGCTCTTCTGTTTGTGCTACTCTTTCGACGTGGGGCTTAGAGACTTCAAGCCTCTGCCAGATATCCCATACCGTCAAGCTGGGGGATGGCGAGCTCCGGGATGTTCACCAAGCACTAGAAGTACCGGTCGTGTTGAGAGATCTAGATAACTCGCCTGTTATTGATGATATTGTCTCCGTCCGTGTACTAGAGTCGGTCACCAGACAGCCCTTCTTGCTTATTGGGCGTGACTTGATTCAAGCTTGGGATTTACGGGTATTTGGAGCGTCGAAGGTCACTACTGCTACAGGCAAGCTGTTGTTCTCATCGCTACCTGCTGATCAACTGGCCTTGTCAACCGAGTTCATCTATGATGTGAACAGCCTCCTCAATGTCGACGATACCTTCAAGGAAACAACTTGCACAACTTCGGTGGCGGTGCAACCAGATCCAGCTGTCATTGCCTTCGAGACTCAGCTCGAGCCTACCATTGCCGATGAGTTACGCCTTTGGCTTGCGAACCTTGCCAGGAGAAGCAAGCGACAATTTGGCAGTGCTGAATCTGGATCCTATGGTATACAACTGCACTTCTTACCGAGCAATGCGCCCAAGGATACTACCCTGCAGACCCATTATTCCGAGCTATCCATTCCCGAGCCCAAGAGTCCCACCATCGTGCACCGGTCCTATGCCAGACCCCTGTTTCGCCGTCTATCCGATCAGTACAAGGCAGTCTATGAGAGCCTCATTCGAGGATATCTCTCGAGAGGCTGGTGAAGAGCTCTGAAGGATAGTGATGCCCGTGTTGGAGATCTACTCCCGGCTGAGATCTTCTTGCTGG